CGGGGGCGTTGCCAACTTAACATGTAAGTGAGCAAGGCGATGTGTGGTGCAGAATTCTGGACGGACCACCATCTTACTTTCTGCAAGCTGAGGCTATAAATAAAACTCCATCGGTGTCTGCAAGGTAAGGGAATACTGAGTGAATTAAATGCTGATTTATTGGATACAAGTGAACGTCAACTGTGTCTTGACAACTGTATGCCAATCTGACCTGTCAAATCGCAAGCCCTGAACGAAAATGTTATCGCTGAGACCCAATAAACAGAATTGCGGAATGTCAGTCAGACCAACGCTCTGGGAGTCCCCGGTCGTGCACCTCGACAGCACCAAGGCTGTTTGGACAACAGAAACAACGAAGAAATTCATTGCCTGTCCTCTAAGAAACACAGTCTACACGTGATTACTGCTAACGACAAAACCCAGGCCAACAAGAAACCTACTATAACGGAGGCGGACGGAGATGCCGAACGATTTAGTAGCTCGCGAGGCTGAAAAAAATTCAAGGAAATACTGACCGCCGGCAGATGAAAAACTTATCTGCGGCAATCCGAACTTCCTACGTCCCCAAGCCAAGAGGACTGCTCCACAGAGCAGCCAAGACGGCGCCACCCTACTGTCGGGGGAATCGCAGAACCTAGAGCGCCTGGCCGAGCAATTCAAAAAAATTTTCAACCACCTCTTCGCAACCCTTGAATAAACCAGCAACCAACCTCCTCAAGTGTACACTACCGTCGAAATCGATCGCCTTCCCTTTATACGGGAGCCAATCGGGGTAGTGCAACCACTGCGCCCTCCAACTACCTAGACGTCACTAGTGTCAGCAGTAAGGATGTTCCCGACAGCCGCCACTGCGATGTCTGGCGTCTTTGTCCAAGGCCCCGTTGCCCCAGGGTCATTTACCCTTTCGGTGGGCGGTTCCAGACCCGCTGACCTGCAGCCACTCCGACACACGTGCGTACACACTGTCGCAGCCGCCCATATGCCACCTGAACACAGTATCCCTCGGAGGAGGCAGCAAAAGCCACTAGACACGCCACACCTGGCCTGTCTCCACAGACCTACATATGCAGCTGCCAGCACTTGTCTCACACTCTCCAAGTCGCGAACTAACACCGTCAGTAGATACGTTAACGTCGTCAGCGGCCAATGCCGAATGAAAGAACAGGTCATAGTTCCGTAAATCAAACCCCTCAATTTGGCGACTTCTGTCTTTTCCTACAACTCGGAATTTGGCCTGATTATTGCAGCACTCTGAATACTTTTTATCGCTTGGTCGCCATGAATAGGCGCCCTGCATCCTGGCTATGGTCTCCACAATCCTCCCTCCCACCAGCAATGCGGACACAATCCCAGCCCGTCCTCATTGCCGCCAAACTTTCGGATCACGCACTAAGCGTTTTGTCACCCGAATATCCATCACAACACGACCGCAAACTAGCGTCTCGATCCCCTACATACTCATCACCTGTCCACCCAGACTATACTGACACTGCATGGGCCTATTTTGTCATGTACGTCCCCATAGAAGTCTTCAGCAAAGTGGTACAGTTCAGGCCCATTCAGAACACTTCCGCCAATCTGCACACACAAACACACCTAGCTTGTATATGATCCTACTCGGTCACGTGTTTACACGCGAAATCTGTCAAAACATATAACACATTAATCATGCAAGGTGTATGTGCTGTAATTTACCAACGCTGGCCAGATGAGCGAGATATTCCATATGAGAACGTTCGAGCCTCACTCACGTTGGAAATAAGGTATATGGTATAACGCGGTACAAGTGGAGTAGGAAGCAGATCGTGTGTGTTTTCGTCAGCCCTTTTGTTTCACCTAATCCCTAGGCGGACTGATTTGGACAGATATTGATGCATGGGTAGCTAGAATGCGACCGATACGGGGGAACCTACCCTCAACAAATCAAAGTAACATTCATTTTAATAAACCTGACACGCTGGAATCCATCACGGCGCGCCAACAGTTGTGGCTTGGAAGGTTGACAAGTGACGGGATAACTAAATCCGTCTCAGTACTGAGGGTCAGGCTTTTATGTATTCCCACCGGGGCAAAATCCAACCCCCACACATTTGTGCGGCAGGGACGAGGTCTCGTACGCACGCACAGACGGGCTGTTTAACTTTGTCGGCCGCTGCGCCCACGCCCATCCCCAATCGTGTTGACTTTGTTTGACCATCGGTGTGGGGTGAGAAGAGTAGATGTCGCGCAATTCTGCTCCACTATAAACAAATGCAGGCACAAGTTGCCGTTGTTGGGCTCACCCCGAGAGGCAGCGGTGGACCTCGTGGTCGGCGACGGTTAAACTTTCAAATGAGACCAAGTAACTAATCTATTCACAATGCGTTCTTTCGTCCGTAAACTCAAAGCCAACTCTATCTTTCCGCGCATCTTGGTTCTCACAATGGTCAGGGGGCGAATTGGTGTTATGATGAGGCTTGAATTTTAACAATAGTATTAGCGGCTTAACGATTCAATTCCAACCTGACCGCTGTTTGAACATATTTGTTAGCAGCATGATCCGAGAGTGAGTGATTGTCACTATGTAGGAGCGTGAGACTGCTTGATAAACTGAAGGTTTCTCTGGAAGTGGAACTCCTTTATGTGTATTAAGTGCAGGTCCACATCTTCTTGAAGTTGGGGATGGCTCGCCAAACGTTCCATTCCAAGCGAGCAATCACCCATCCTCACCAATGGTCCAATCTGTTCAGTGAAATGAACGCCAACACGACTAATGTATTCCATTGCATTTACGAAAGAAAGCGAGCGTATTTCTTTCACTTGGTCTGAGTTCTACGGCCAAAAAGTCGGATTCACAATGCAAATTAAGAGGACACTGGCTAGGTGGCCTTCGATCCGGCCAAAAATCTCCGTTCTGTTTAATAAAACTGACAGCCAAATCTCCATTTGCAGATCTGCTAAATGACCGCACAATGACACTGTGCGTGACGGCTAGATACCATAATTGGCCGCATTTTGCGAGTTTGTTCAAATTAATGGACGTTTGATAGCCTCAAACAGGCTTGTTTTCTTCAAAAAGGGCACTTTTAGATGGTAGCAAATCGTTCAAAAGGACATTTCAGTATAGATCAGATCGTGGGTAGGGGGAGGGCAGATGGTGATTGATTTGTCGTAATATCTGGTAGTGAGTATGGCAAATGGGTAACCGAATGCAAGGCCACCAGGAATCGAATGCAAAATGGACGAAATTTCCAACGAAGAAGAGAACAGAGTACACTTTATTGTCGATTGAATTCGCCTCAAAAGTCGAAGGCCACGTGAAAATTACGCTCTCTTTCGAATGACCAGCAAAACCGCTGTCCATGTCCTTGACAGTGGTTTCGCAGCCCCTTCGCAAGTGCTCTCGAGGCCCTACCGGCGGACCACAATAGTCTTTTAATCATGCTTTTGTCGACATTATGAACGGAAGACATGTATTTCACCATTTACTTCATTTTTTGATGCACTATGGTTTCACAGTGCCGCTTTTTTGTCGTCGGATCTCAGTAAACACTCACCTATTCAGCGTAGATTTCTCCCGAGGTAAAGGACAGTAACTCGCGATAAGCCTGCACTGTTGTGTGTAGATCGGACGAAATAACTTTGAATTTTGCGCCCTGTTATGCCTATTGCGTTTCGTGCCCGCAACTTCCAACATCGATGCCTAGTCACTTTAGCTTCGACTCTTTACTACAGTGCAACCAGGATTTTCTTTCAGCTCCTTTCTGCACTGCTTCGATGGATGCGCCCATAGTCAGCGATGCAAAACGCTCCCCTCTGAAACCCCTTTTTGCATCAAATTCCGTGGCAGATAGACACTGGAAGTTGCATGGCAATTTATTTCACCAAGTTATCTTAGTTTGAGGGATTGGATGTTTTCTCATGTGCTTCCAGTCTAGAGCCTTCTCATATCAGCGCAAGAACGAGCAGTCCATAACGAACAGTAACGAGAAAGACAGTGGGTTGAGCACTTTAAAAAAACCGCCGGGAAGGCCACAGTACCGATTCTGCATTCAGGTGACCAGCTGAGAACAGAAAAGTAGTCAAAATGGCCACTCTTAACTCATGGTTATTTCTTGATACTACTTCCTACTATTTCGATTCTGTTTTTAGACGTCACCACTTTTTGACTTTCCACTCTTAGATTCGGCTTGTTAGGATGAAGCTCATTAATAAACATTCCAGCTTCTCCCCCTGTCTTTCCTCTTTTATGAGTCAAAACTCAAAAGGTCTAACTGATATAGTAGCAATAAGATTTTTATGAAAGAATATACTCCATAAATACTGATTCCTTTTAATTCCCCCCAGCACGGGTTCTAGTTGTAAGTCTAGACACGTTTTCCGTCTGGCTGTTGTCGAAACACGTCCTTTAGATGGGTAATCCGCCGAAGCTTATTGACTTCAAATCAAATGTTCATATCAACTTTCCGGTCGAGCCGCAGAAGATTCACGTCGGAGAATTTATTCCGATTTCGCGTAGTATTTACTGGGAGAGTTAAAGAACTTGACAGAAAGAACAATGTCATTTCTCAATGACACATGTGTTCGTCAAAATTCTGCGATAACCTTGTTTCAAGGGCGGATGGTGGAGGCGAGGCATTCGCAGTGACCAATGGAGCGAAGCAGGGCTGTGTACCTACTTCCACCCTCTTCAGACCCATGTTCTCTGCTATGCTGATGGATGCCTACTGTGATGGGCGCCCTGGTATAAGCATCGCTTTTACAACTTACGGCCTTCTCAGCAGTAGGGACATGCAGGCCTGAACACAGCTAACTAATACCACGAGCCACGATCTGCTCTTCGCCGACGAAAACACACTCAACACTACGGCCGACGAAGGTGTGTAAAGGAGCATGGACCTCTTCGTCTCCGGCTTAACCCTCAAAACGGAAAAACAATGATCATGCACCAACCGTCACCCAGCACGGAATACAACTCTGTCAATGGTAACCAAATAAAAACCGTGAGAAACTTCGCTTGCCTAGGAAGCACCCTCTCGCGAGGCATAAGAACCGACGACGAGGTCGTCAGTCGGCTTTGCAAAGCCAACCAGGCCTTCGGTGCGCTGCAGGCCTTCGTGTGGAATCGACTGGGCCTTCAACTGCACATCAAACTGAAGATGTACAAGGCCGTCGTCACGACGACAATTCCGTACGGTGCACGGAGCTGGGCCGTCTACTCCAAACATGCGGGGATGCTCAACCATTTTCATCTCAGCAGCCTTCGCGGGATACTGAAGCTGGAAGGGCATGACAGTGTCCCAGGCAGGGAAGTCCTGTAGCAGACCGGAATTCTCGGCATCCCAGCCATGCCGAGGCAACTGCAACTGCGATGAAGCGGCCATTTGGTGAGAATGGACGATGCACGATTATAAAAACGACTCTTCCAAGGAGGTGTCGCCACGGGTGCTTGCCGATCGGGAGGACAAAGACGATACTACAAGGACACTTTGAAGAATTCACTCAAGTGATTACATATCAGCCTAGAGACCTGATAGGACCTCCCCCAGAACGGACCGGCATAGAGCAGAGAAGTAAAGGCTGGCGCAGCGATTTACGAAGCACACCAGATCACCGTCAACGACCACTTTGCTCGCGGGTCGGTCATCCTCTGACCGGGTACACCAACGACCGCAATTGCTGCCTCCGCGACCAACTCTATTCCAACCTCCACGTCGACCATGACGGCGCCCACCCTCACCAACATTGTTTCGAATCCCCGTACTACGCTGTTGTCGACCACTATCACCTCCATTACTCCTGCCACAAACACAGAAGCGGCGACTAATGCAACCACCTCTACCAGCACCGTCGCCAACGATAAAAATGTTCCTGACGTACCGATAATCAACAACACATGTACCATCAGTCTGTCCTAATCTGTCCTTGTTGCGACCGCACATTTCCCTCATATATAGACCTGGTCAGTCACTTAGGAATCCATCACACAGAGGCTGTCGAACCAGTACCCGGAGCACCAGTGTATACTCGTTGCATCCACTTTCACTGCCCTCACTGCCCGCGCACATTCATCCACCGCATTGACCGTTTCGGTTACATGCGCATCCGTGACGGCGGGATACACCTAGCATATCTTGCGCATCCACCACCTATCCCATACCCCAGCAGCATCACCGTCGCCACCACTGAAACCGGCTCTGCCGCTCCCGATCTATCATTCCTCCCGAATCGGCCTCGGTCATCTGCGAATCCGTCGCACAGAGACTGGCGAGCCAGTACCTGGAGCACCAACATGCACCAGAAGCACTCGCCTCAACTGCCCTCACTGTCTCGCACACTGGGCGACCGCATGGGCCTACTAGGCCACATGCGCGTTCACGAACATCTGCGGTAAACCACCACAGACACGACCGAATCACCACGCATTGCCGCACCAGCAAATGAACCACGCATACGACCTTCCATAATCCTACAAGGCCGGCACTGCGCACGAAAGTGAAAGTGTGCTTCTCAGCTCCTTCTCCATTTGGCTCATCTGCGCCATGTGCCGCGGTTTGGAGGGTTGCCAACTTACGGGATAACTTGGACCTCGCAGCCAGCCCAGTATGCAGACTGGTGGTCTGAGAGTCAGGCTGCAATGGCTCCTTTCTCAATATAGTCTTTATGACTCTCCCACCAAGTGGGATCCGATCCAGGTGTGGTGGCACGCCTAGGAGCGGCTTCGGCCGCGCCGGCCGTCGCCCTTGATACTATTGGTTAAAACCCTAGTCAACTGTTTGTTTTAGACCAGGGAATGTGTTTGTACGCCTAGGTACGGGTCTGGCCCTGCCATCTACCTGCGCTCTCTCCCCCCTCCGATCTTGACTATAACTTGACACCGAGTCCAAATAGGGGAGGAGGAGAGAGTACGGTAGATGCTGCACAAGTTTACTACCTCTATAAAAGAAATCGCGTGCGGGTCACCATGCCTCCTTCCACCCTGCTGTGGAGCACAGATGGACATCGTCGGTCACGGTGGTCGAGCTGTCGGATGTCGTTCCCCATTGTAACGCGTAAATAAAGAAAGAGGTAAAAAAATCAGCATTTGAAAACGACTACACCCCTTAAAGCACCGACACAATGACAAAATACGAGGGCATGAGTTAAAACTACCTTAATTTCAACAGTCGCTTTTTCTGGTACGACTGAGGATGGCTGCAGTGGGAAAGTCATTTGCTCACTTGCAGGAAAAACTCCTTATCGGTGGGCAAAACCCTAACGCCCGATGTATTATAGCCTTGAAATTCTCTGGAAGGCAAATTCTACGGTTAAAACACATTGCTGTTGACTCTTAGGCAGTAGTGCTTTATTTTTCTCAAATTATTCCACATGGAAATGATTCCGAAGTTTTCTGATGAATCGCCAGATCTGACTTTTATTCTAATCAAATACTTTGTGGTTCAACATATCCGATTGATAACTAATACCATAATGCAGCGTCCTAGGCCTGCGTTCGTAGCACGTCCGGTATACCGTGCTATCCGAATTCAGTCCCGGGGTGCTCTTATTACTCAGCACAGTCGATTAAAGTGGAGCAGGTTAAATAAATCTGTGAAAATTCTAACATATTCTAGAACTCCCAGCGGACTTTTGATGTCAAATTAAGGAATACGTTGTCTACTAGGTATGCGCTTGTGATTTTTCAAACTAGACGTTCTTCATTGGTTGCATCTTATACCTACCCCCATTTTCATGCCACTAATATATCTAAGCAGGTAGCCTATAACCCCTAGAATAACTGCCCGGTGTTTATCATTTTAATGAAGTTCACTTAGTTGTGTTGCTTTTAAACGCTCTCCTTCGTGTCCTTCGTTATCCTTCGTGTTGTTCTGCTAAGGCCTTCTATTCTCCTGTAGAATGCGGGGCCACTTCTCACAAATAATTCACTGTCTGACTTGGAACTACCACGACTTCCTTTATCAGCTACAGTACTTTGAGTTCTTCGAATGAAGCCGTTTTTGCAAAGTTCCGTAGGCTTGTTCACAGGTTCTGATGACTGTGGCCGCCTCTAAGTTCAAAAAATATAACACGGCGCCTTGTCGGCGCTTTTTTTATACATGAATAACAACAAGGGTCGCATTTCAGAAAGGTTTTGCTGGACATTCAAACTTGACTGCGTCTTTGATTTGAAGTTTTGCTGTTGGCTAAGGGGGATGGCTTTTAACCAGTATGTTCTCTTTCACTTGCACGCTCAGCGTCTAGTCGTGGCACCGACCAACACCTGATATTAAACGCACATATCACAGATACGCTCGGACAAACAGACACATCGCTAAACAGATTTATGCGTAGAGTGGCCAGATTAAATCAAAGTCTTCGACGAATTTTTGTACACATTTATATTATCATTCAAACCACTGATGTACCTCATCCTAACAACAACATGAGGTGCGGCTATACGAATGGCAAGACTCACTGTCTGAGCTGAGAGGGCATTTCACCTGTCATAATCAAACGCATACCTGCCAACACCCACGTCTTAGTCCATACCTCTCCCTTTCTATTTTCACCCCGAATCTCACACTCGACCACGTTGGCGGCCGAACCAATGTCCTCCTGTCTTGGATGCGAGCCCTTGACTCTGATGACGAATTAGGCAAAGCGGCAGTTCGTCAAAGTGTAGTTGGTGTTGGCATGTCTTGATTGGCAAAATAAAGCAGTGTTGATGTATCTAGCAAATACGAAAAATATGCAAGTGCAAGCATGAACGTGGTGAAAATTAAAGTGAATATTGTAGGTTCACATGCAGACACTAGATTCCGGCTATAAATCCAAGGCAGGTGTCTACACCCACATGCGGTAAGGTCTTCGCTCCGGATTGCTTAGTGTCATCGCTGAACTTCGTTTGTCCATTCATTGGCCTGGAATCAGCATGCGACCCCTGCTTACTGCCGATCCAACGTCGGTGGTGCTCATATGGGAGGTTGAGTGCTTTAAACACCCAGCTTATTATTTTAAAGTAGGGCGTTATCACCTTATCAGTCATTGACTTGCGCTTTTATAGAAGGTCAGCGCCCAGGTAAAAACGGTGGGAAGACAGGGAGTGACGCCGCAGATTTTAAGGTTGCGCCCACATCAGGCCACTTAAAGAGTTTCCCACTCAACTCCCGCTTACTCGTCAAGGGATGTGATCGGATTAAGTCACTTTAAAGTCTTCGTAAATCGAAACTGACACACAATGAAACCTTAGAGGCTTTAAAGTTAGTCCATTCCAAGAGCACCACAAACTCGTCGTGGTGATTCCGTAAAGGGGCAACTCTCCTCATTTATTACGAAACATCTATAGTCTCGATGTGTCATAGGGTTAGAAAGTTCCTTTATCCTCCTGGCAATAGCACTGGATATGAGTAGGGAAGAACAAGACTGATCGAGCGCCAGAAACATGTGTTTATCTGTCTGGGCCTTCAAACTCGTGCAGGGCCTATGCGTTAGAGACAAAAACTGAAACAGAAAAGGCGACGGTTTTAGGGGGTTTTGTTAATTAACGATCAATGACAAAGGCGTATGGGGTGGCTGTACAGAGGTCTGCATGCCGGCGCCAAATCGATACGTAGATTGGCAGAGTTCTCATCCGAGGCCCAGGCTTCAATCAGCTCTCGGCTTGTCGTTTCACAAAGTTAACTTTGTGATCCGATTCGTAGTTGTGGCGGTCACTCGTGATACTTCGTCACCCTGCCGACTTATGTTCGGATTTGAGCGATCCGATCGTGCATTCAGTTTGACTTGTGCAATTACGAGGACACTTTTGAACCGGGATGCTGTACACTGCGCCTGACTGCTCCTTCGGATTTAACTGGTCTTATGTCTTCACGACTTTTATACGCATGGTAGTTTTGGGCAAGTGGACAATTCTAACACCGAGTCTCACAGCAGTGTGCTCGGTCGCCTCCAAAACGTCCTTTGTGTATGGCAGGGCATCTCAGATTACCGGTGGTGTTTCCGGTGGAGCCCTCCGGGGGGCGAAAACATAGGCATAGGCTTATAAACGCATTCTAATGGCAATTCCGCATAAATTGGTAAAGGTATCAGGCCTCAGGTCGGTTGCGATTGGGTATATACAATGGTAGATGGGCGCTCACCGATCGCCTTACAGAACCATTGTATATACCCGATCGCAAACGAAAAGGGTGGCGAGCCCGTGACTCTTTGGTTAGGGCGTTAAACTTCTGACAGTTGCTCGCGGGATCGAGCCTCAGGGGCTGCATACGTCGGGGTTAGGCACGGCTGGATGGCTGACGACGGCTAATAGCCTGACATAACCATATCAGTCTCACTTATCTTTGTCGGTTGTAACACACTACAAATATCGTGCGTCGCTGTGTGGCTGTTGGCGCAGCTCGAGAGAAGGAGAGTGCCCCAAGGCACAACGGGACGAGTGAGTTCTGTAATGCGATCGGCGAGCGTCCCCCCTACCACGGTCCATATTGTCAGACCAGAAGAGATTCAGGAAGTTAGAAGTTAAAAAACTTTGAGAAAGCAAAACATCTTGGCAACGAGGTCGGATAAAGAAAGAGGCATCGTTATAGTGAACAGTTCAGATTACTTGACGAATATATGGTTCATACTGTCCCACCAAAACAAATTCAGGAAGGTAGACAAAGAAAAAGATTGCACGGATGAAGTAGATGAAAAGCTGGCCGATTTTCTAAGAAGGCTCCACAAAGGGGTCCCATGAGTGACCGTGATCTCGGACACCTCCGATATAATCGGTTCACATATCCCTCGAGCGTATTGTTTAAATGAGATCCATTTGGACGCCCTGCCAGTTCGTCTGATTTCGGGCACGAGAAACTCTCCGTGTCACAGGACAGTTGATTACATTTACGAATTCCGATCAACCAATCAGCAGGATATTGGAATTCCAACGAACAAAAGGAGCAACAACTAGGATACACACTAAATGTTGCCTTTTCTGTAGAAGCAGCCTGGTCTGTAGTCCAAAATCCGTTGAGGCCCTAGTCTTTGCCGAATGTACCACCACCCCTTTGGTTTGAAAGCGGACGGAAGTGATGGTAGCTTGTCTTAACGAGATCTGAACTGCAGAGGGAATGTGATAAGACTTCACAGTTCAACTGCGTGAGGTCGGACGTTGTCACGATGTAGCGTCATTTGGCCTTGGCGATCGGATCGGGCTGTACATAATTCTCTGGCCGCTGTGTGGTTTTGTTCAACCATCTTATAAGGGATTGCACCCGCAAACTCCCACCAAAGGCAAGATATACTCTTTCCGGATGGAGATCCTGCTACGGTAGTGAAGTTGACAGGTCGTCGCGGTTCACCACATTCTTTTGTTTGTTTCATTCCGACGCATAATTACGCCTTAACTGTACAAGCAATCAGTTATTTGAACGAAACGCATTTCTTCAAAACTATCGTCAATTCCAACTTGCGCAACGGTTACCTGTTGTGGAGCATAAGTTGTTAAGACCTCATCTATCTGGTGAGGTCTGAGGAGAATCCCGTGTGCGTCTAAGACATTGCATTCCCCAAAACAACGAACAATTCCACCTCCGACTCATGATAACCTTAAGATTAAGATCAAAGAAATCAAGCGAGCAAATGCAGGTGCAGAGGATGAGTACACGGAGTTCTGTTGTCACGTGTTGGGATAAAATCCTCACGTCACTTACACAGCGTAGGTTTGATGACGCAACCACGCCCTACGAGTTGCTGGCTGCCTGGAAAGCTTACTATTTTGCGCGAGGGTGTGAGGAGTCACCTAACGAGATTTAACATTCATTAGCACCTTTGTCAGCACGGCCTATCTCGTACTCCAGTTATGACCACTGACTCTTATGCCCCCCCCCATCCTTCTCCGAAAAAGCCGTGTGCATTTACTTCGTTTCGATCAAATTGCAGTCAAATAATCACAACTTGACCGGTGTAAAGCGAGCGGACATGCGAACGCCAGAATGGAGCCGTTGTGAAGGCTTTTAGGGGGTGTGCATCCGCCAGCACCTGCGTGGATCTGTTTGGCTGGCATATTTCTGTCTATCACTTTCACAATAATCTCAGCACAAAGTTTAAAGAATGCACAAGCCCCCCCCCCATATTAGTAAACACGAGAGGCTATATTGCCGTCTATATTTCGCGAGTGCAAAATGTTCTTTGACCCTGTGTTAATCTTCTGGTTGGGATCTGTTGTTGGCATAGACAGCTATTCCACACAAGAAATAAGTGGACACGGCCGCTTTGTGTAAAGATACCGAAAAGCTCGACATCAAAGTAATGGGCGACCACAATGGTCAACTTTGGTTCATTTTTGTTCATAATTCACAGTACCCCTAGTCACGATTTCACGCAGCGACAACGGCTTTTTGCCAAACGCTCTATCACGGGTTAACGCTATCTCGACTGCATCACATTATTTTGTTTGTTTCGTGTCTACTTAGAAGTGCCACTCTTCAGTGCCAGTGATTATGCAACATACTTGCTTTTGTCTATGGGTGTCCTTATGCATCTTAAGCAAATCTGCAGCAATAGTGAAGCTGTGACTCTTGCTGCTTTCTAAAGAGGCTGCTAGCATCCAGACTCGAGGCTTCTGAACTAGTCCCATAGACATAATGTAAATGAGGATAATTTTTCGGTGACAGGACGGTTTGTCTACCGACAGTTCGACCGTCGATTTCGACGATGTCCACCGTATGTCCCACAGCTGCAGCAGCAGTGGGAGCAGGGACGATTCACCGTGTCGAAGGCTTTCGTCAGGTCCACGAAGGTAGAGTACAGGTGGGTCCGCATCTCCTGGCACTTCTCCTGAAGTTGACGGGCGGCGAAGATCATATCCGTGGTCCCACGATGACGACGGAAGCCGCATTGACTTTCCGGCAGAAGGCCCTGTTCCAGATGGTTGTTGAGGCGGTTGAGCAGGATGCGAGCGAAGATCTTCCGGGCGATGTTCAGTAGGGAGATGCCGCGGTGGTTGTCGCAAACTTGGCGATTCCCTTTGCGCTTGTATAGGTGCACGATATTTGTGTCCTTGAAATCTTGCGGGACTTCACCTTGACGCCACATCTCCTGGAAGAGCGCAGTCAGGTGATCCATCAGTAGGGGACCTCCGTGCTTGTAGACCTCAGCAGGGATTGCGTCCGATCCGGGTGCTTTCCCGCTGGAGAGTTGCTGCACGGCCCTGATGGTCTCCTGGAGAGATGTCGGGAGGTCGAGGTCCATGTTGGTCTCCACTTGCGGCAAGCGGGCGATGGCGGCGTCGGAGATGACGGAAGGGCGGTTGAGGACGCCCCGGAAATGCTCGGCCCATCGCTGTAGGATTTGCGTCTTCTCAGTCAGGAGAGTGCTGCCGTCGGCGCTGAGGAGAGGAGCAGTGCCCTTCGTCGGCGGACCGTAGACAGCTTTGATCGCGGAGAAGAAGTTCTTCCATTCGTTGCGGACCGCGTAGCCTTGGATCTCCTCAGCTTTGCGAGCAGTCCAGGCGTTCTGTATCTCGCGCAGTCGTTGCTGAAGCTGTCGGCGACTGCGGTAGAAGGCAGTTTTGTTGTCCTCAGTGGGGTGACCTACGTAGGCTTTGTTAGGCGGTTCTTCTCAGCAAGTAGATTTCTGATGGCGCGTCGTTGTCGTCGAACCAGTCCTGGTGTTGGCGGCGTGCGCGACCGAGGACGGCGAGCGCCGTCGACTGGACCGTGTCTCGCAGTTGACACCAGCGGTTCTCCACGGAGGCGTTCTCGGCAGCGGCGGCATCGGCGATGGGGAGGTTGTCTAGCTGTTGAGCTAGCTCATTGCTGAAATGGAGACGGTGAGCAGGCAAAGACAACAAAGCAACATTCAGCTTACCTGGGGGTCGCTTACCTTGTGGTCTCCTGCGAGGCTGTAGGCAAATACGCATCTTCGAGATGACGAGGCGATGGTCGGTCCACCCGTCAGCACCCGCGATCGCCTTCGTCACCAGCACGTCCCGCTGATCTCGCCTCCGGACGAGGACATAGTCCAGCAGCTGCCACTGACGCGACCGAGGATGCCTCCAGGTGGCCTTCTCTCGCTCCGGCAGACAGAAGAACGTGTTCGTCAGGATGAGGCGGTGTTCTGCGCAGGTGCGGAGGAGAAGCAGGCCGTTGTCGTTGAAGCCGCGGAGACCATGGGGACCCAGCACTCCCCTCCAGGCAGTATGGTCTGTGCCGACGCGGGCGTTGAAGTCGCCAGGGACGATCAACTTGTCCGCCTTCGACACAGTCGCCAAGAGGCGTGCAGGTCCTCGTAGAATTTGTCTCTGGCGGTGTCGGGGCTGGTCATCGGCGGAGCGTAGGCGCTGATGATGGTGGCGAACTTGCCTCCTCGCCGGAGGGGCAGACGGAGGCTCATCAGGCGATCGTTGATTCCCTGCGGCAGAGTGGGCAGTCGTCCCACGATGTCGGTCCGGATGGCGAAGACGACGCCCGCGTCTCGTCGCTCTGCCTTCGGTCGACCACTCCAGAAGAAGGTGTAACCGGCACCCACCTCCTCCAGTTGGCCTTGTTCGGAGAATCGGGTCTCGCTGAGTGCGGCGATGTTCACCTTGTAGCGCGCCAGTTCTCGTGCCACTAGCGCCGTCCTCCGTTCCGGTCGGTTGCTCCTCGGATTGTCTAAAAGGGAACGAACATTCCAGGCTGCCAGAGTGAGCGGGTTCACCCTGCCAGTCTGGTGACAACGAGTGGGGCGACGGGAAGGAGGTGGAGGATAAGATGACGAAGGAGAAGAATAGGCAGAAGAATAGACGGCGTAAGAGGAAGAAGAGGTAGGATGAGGAGAATGAGTATGGTTGTTGTTGTTGTTGTTGTAATTGGTATTGTTGTTTCGATTTTGATTGTTTCGACCGTGTTGATGGCATCTGCGGCCTTGGCTGGCCTGCAGACCGCGTGGTGCCCAGCATTTTTTAGACCACCTTTTCTAGGCCCTTCCCCTCGTGGGGGCAGGCAGTGCCGTCCCTGAATCGGGCTGCCCATGTGCCTGGTTGGCGCGACCGAATCCCACTATGGGGCCACGACTTTTATGTTCGTAGTGGAGAACGACCGCATGTGCCGTGAGTCCGCGGTCTCCGTCGGCGAGGGTGGGCGCGTCTCAGCGAAGGCGATGCAGAGACCCGTCCCGGCAGCAGTTATCCAACGGCGTACCAGGCAGAGCCTCGTCTCGACGATGCCGGCGTAGTGTTTCATCCGACCATCCATCCAGCGGAGCCCGCGGTACGCTGTGCACTCGGCACATGCGCACAGCGCCCTCACCTGGTTTAGCCCGCCGGTCGAGACGGTTGCCCGGGGTGTGGCCGCTGAGCAGAGCCCAGCTACATGGAGCCACAGGTGAGAGTTGGGTGCCAGCAAATGGACGCTAAGCGTAGTCTCACCTGCGAGCAAGTGAGCGACCACTACGACCATCACGTGAACCCACCGCTGGACATCCCTACACCCCTGAACCCACCGCTGGACACCCCTACGCAGTACCCCTAGTCACGATTTCACGCAGCGACAACGGCTTTTTGCCAAACGCTCTATCACGGGTTAACGCTATCTCGACTGCATCACATTATTTTGTTTGTTTCGTGTCTACTTAGAAGTGCCACTCTTCAGTGCCAGTGATTATGCAACATACTTGCTTTTGTCTATGGGTGACCTTATGCATCTCAAACAAATCTGCAGCAATAGTGAAGCTGTGACTCTGGCTGCTTTCTAAAGAGGCTGCTGGCATCCAGACTCGAGGCTTCTGAACTATTCCCATCGACATAAAGTAATTGAGGATAATTTTTCGATGACAGGCGGTTTGTCAGCCAATGCCTTAATGACTGACAGGCCGTCTTCTGTGAAAAGATCATTAAAAGGCGCCCGGAGTGAGGAATCGCCCAATGTTCTCCCCTGCGGTCGATAATGCCACCGGAAATGCGCCAACCTGGTACGAATAGACGGCGGTGGATGGGAATAAAGTGAAGCCAATCTGGTTCGCCACTGCAGTCGTTGTCCAATCGCGAAGCTGGCGTGAAGTGCACAGTCAAGCAGACCATGTAATGGGTAAGGTCAAGTGAAAAGCTAAACGTCCGGGTGGTCGCGTACCCACCAACCCGCGGAACGCCGAGGTAGGTGAGATCAGCCAAACCGCTTTCGTAAAAACCCTTTAACGCCAAACCCGACCGTAAAAGCAAACGAATTGCGACTAGGGAAGACCACACAGAA